TGACTCACAATGGCAACCGTAAATTTGACCTCTTATAATGTAAGAGGCCTGAACACCCCCACCAAACGACACCAGGTCTTACAAGAACTGCATAGACTATCTAGCGACATAGTGTTTCTCCAGGAGACGCACCTCTCACATAGTACCAACACGCGACTGTCCTCTTATCGCTACCCAACATGGTATTATAGCCTCTCAGATTCCAACAGGGCTAGAGGAGTTGCCATCGGTGTGCGCAGGAGTACTCCATTCATACTGTCTGAGATGAAGGTTGATGATAGGGGGAGATTTATCTTCCTAAATGGGACTCTAGGCAATTCTTCATGTACTTTGGCTAGTATATATAGCCCAAACCAAAATCAAATTGGCTTTCTTACCAGGACGCTTACATGCCTCCCGGACTTTGCCTCAGGGATTCTACTTGTAGGGGGGGACTTCAACCTGGCATTGGAACCACACTTAGACGTATCATCAGGCCGCTCCGCACTTTGATATAGTCAACTATCCTATCTCAAATCATTCTTGCACAAAGCGCAACTAATAGACACGTGGAGGTTCGACAACCCATCGGGCAAAGACTACTCGCATTACTCTGCCACACATAAGATTTACTCGCGTATAGACATGATCTTTGTTGATCATCATCAGCTACACATGGTCAAATCGACCTCAATAGCTCCGAGGACGTTGTCGGACCATTCCCCGGTTCTGACTTCCCTTGCCTGGCCATCCTTACCAATTAGATCCAACAATTGGAAATTAAATGAATATTTATTGAATTGCCCTGTCTCCAGAGCACAGCTGATGGAAGACTTACAGAGCTATTTCCGACAAAATTCCATACATGGAACTTCGCCGGCTGTGGTCTGGGAGGCGCATAAAGCGGTGATCAGAGGTAAATTAATAGAACTGGGATCCAGGAAAAAACGGGAGGCGGAACGGGAAATGCAGACCCTATTGACACAAATTAAAGACTTGGAACGCCTTCATAAACATTCTTTACAGCAGGCACATCAGAAGTCACTCCAAAAATGTAGGGAAGACCTGAAAACACTCCTAGACCGCAACACAGCCCAAAAATGTATGTGGATGCGCCAGAGAAATTATGAGTGGAGCAATAAACCTGGGAGACAGTTTGCCCGCTCCCTGCGCCTTAAACAATCAGCTACGTTCATTTCCAAAATTAAGACTAAGGGGGACAAACTGGTACACCTCTCCCAAGACATAGCCAAGGTGTTTAGTGAGTATTATCGCACCCTATATAATATAGCTGACATTCCGACGCCCTCTATAGTTGGGCCGCAGCAAAGGAAAGCACTTATAGAGCAGTACATAAGTAAGGCCCACCTCCCCACACTGCCTGAGGAAGAGTTGGAGGCATTAGAGACAGACTTTACAGATGAGGAGTTTACGAAAGCATTACACACGATGGCCACGGGCAAGGCTCCTGGCCCGGATGGATTCACACTCGCGTATTACCGCACTTTCAAAGATATCCTGATACCCCACCTGACCGAATATGCCAACTCCCTCACCTCAGGCGAGGAGCTACGGCAAGAAACAACCCTAGCGCATATTACAGTCCTGCCCAAGCCGGGGAAGGACCCCACCTGCTGCCCCAGTTACAGGCCCATCTCGCTATTAAATGTGGATATCAAACTGTACTCGAAGGCCCTGGCACTCCGCTTACAGCCTTTGCTACCTAAATTTGTATCCCCAGATCAAACCGGATTAATTCCAGGAAGGGAAGCTAGGCACAACTCGATGCACACCCTACATTGTAGTGTCCTGTGTCGGCGGGAAATCCCAGGCCACACTCTTACTGTCGACAGACGCGGAAAAAGCTTTCGACAGAGTGGCCTGGGATTTCATGTTGGCGACGCTGGGTGCCATGGGGTTGCGCCCAGGGATGTTGACCAGGATTGCTGCCTTATATCAATACCCTACAGCCAAGGTGAGGGTTAACGGAGTGCTCAGTCCCCTCTTTTCCTTGAGAAATGGTACTAGACAGGGATGTCCGCTATGGCCCCTGCTATTTGCCATTTCCCTGGAACCGTTTTTATCCACCATAACGCATAGTGCAGACATAAGGGGTGTGCAGGTGGTCCACGGGAACATAAATATGCGGCTTATGCGGATGACATCTTATTTTACATTAGGAACCCCCAAATTTCCCCCCCGAAGCTACTTGCTGCCTTGAAAGATTACAATTTGGTATCCAACTTCAAAATTAATATCTCCAAATCTACTATCCTGAATTTAACGGTACCCCCCAGGGAAGTTGTAGCCCTTAAATCAGCGTTCCCGTTCGCTTGGCAGAGGCGCTCCTTGAAATGTCTTGGGATAAACTACACGCTAAGACTACAGGATATGTTTAAATATAATTACATGCCCCTTTTGAACGCTATTCGTGTGGACTTGAATCGTTGGTCCCCCCTCTACCATTCCTGGCTGGGCAGAGTGAATGCCATTAAGATGAATGTGTTGCCGAGACTACTATTTTTGTTCCAGATGCTCCCCATGGGGGTCCCCCCCTCTTATTTTACTTTATTACGTTCCCTGGTATCTAGATTTATATGGAAGCGCAGAAGAGCAAGGATATCCTACAACATTCTAACCAGACCGAAAACGCTAGGGGGAGTGTCTCTGCCGGATTTTAGGAGATATTATAGAGCAGTGTCCCTAGCCAGAGTCCTAGATTGGCACTATGCAGGGGAAACAAAGCTGTGGGTACAAATGGAAGCGGCAATGAGTCACGCAAATCTGCAGAAGGTCTGCTGGATCCCACAGAAATATAGACCGTTATCTTCAGATACTCATCCCCTAACGAAGACGACCCTGTCCGTGTGGGATGCACTCCATTCTAAACAAAAATGGCAGTACAACTCTCCTCTGATGCCCCTATTGGGCCATTTGTACTTCCCGCCGGGGCTCATGGATGGGGGGCATCGCACATGGATCCAGGAAGGTTCTGAACTATTGCTGCATCAGGTCATACAGGGGGGGGAGGATCAAACCCCTCTCCTCCCTGTGTGGATCGCCCAGGCCCTCCTTCATGGATGTATGGCGATATGGGCAGCTGTCGCATTTTGTGGGGCAGCTGCCTTCGCCGTTGAGATCCAGGAAGGATCTGAACCCATTGGAAATGCTCTTCCCGGCAGATTCAGCCCCCACTAAGAGCATATCTTCCATGTACGACGTTTTGTCGCGTCTAGACGCCTCCTCTCACCCACCCTATATAGCGTCCTGGGAAACGGAGCTGGGCTGCCCCCTTACTGAGACACGCAGAACGCGGGTTCTGGCCTTCTCAAGGGGGTTGAGCAGATCCTCAGGCATCCAGGAACTCCACTATAAGCTATTATGTCGGTGGTATTACACTCCTCAGAAAATGCACCAGATATATAGTTCGGAGTCCCCGCTGTGTTGGAGGGGCTGTGGACAAGTGGGCGCACACGCGCATATATGGTGGCATATATGGTGGCTTGAAAATAACACCCTTCTGGCAGCTGGTAGCGGAGGAGATATTACATATTCAGGGAACGGAGGTGCGTCTGTAATTTTTATGTTGAATGATATTAGCGCAACTCTTTATCAAACCCAAAAATATTCATTAAAAATGCACTTAAGTTAAATTTAGTGCCCCAAAACAATATAATACCCATTATTTTTGTAAAATATAAAAGATGAGGTTACAACATAGATACCCAACATGCCCAGGTTAAAAATTGTGGCCCCTACAGGTCATCAATTTAGAGATACACATAAATATTGACCTAGAATCATTGCTCCCACTCTGGCTCGTGCCAACATGTGTAGCGCGATCAACGTTTTTCCTAGGTAGTCACACCCGACGTGTGTTTATGTGAATACACATGTGCTCACGGGGACTTTAAAAAAAATGACAGCTGGCTCTACAAATGTAAACAAAGTCCCGTTGGCGACTGGCTCGCTGCCAGTGACATACTATGTACGTCACTGGTCGCTATGGTTTAAAGCATAGCTGGTCCCAAGAACAAACATTGACTACATTACATTTTACCAGTGCTTAAAGGTGGTGGTACATTTTGTTTTCATTTATTTAGGCTTGAGAAAATTTTAGCAAGTCCTGAAAATACCTGGTAATTGTGGCATGAATGATGTGTCCTTGTCACTTGCTGTAAAATGAACTGGAAGCAAAAACAAGAATGTTATTATTCTTGTGTAAACTAATTCCAACTAACGAAGGCATACATTTTCTTCCATAGATGCATTGGAGGATCATAACCACCCAGGGACAGAAAGTGTTTTATTTGCAGGATTACTATGGAAAAACACGGAAAAAGTTAAAACTAATGCAGACACCTAATTTTGGGTTGAAATATATGCTTTAGAATCAGTGTCATCACTCTCATACTGGAGCTAAGGGATGCTTTGAGGGCTACAGAAGAGCTGCTCGAAGGTTTCTAAACGTGGTGTCATTGACCGAAATTCAGACTAGCATTTATAAGCAGGGCTAAGCCTTAAAGTAAAGAAAAGCAATCCCCTCCATGAAAACTATATGTACTGCACATGAGTTAGTAGAAGAAATGCATCCATTTGACTGTTTTGAAAATATTGATATAGTCCTTACCATGCACTTTTTCGATCGGACTATTACGTGGAATGGTCTGCCTTCATTATGCCTACATGTGCACTGTCATATTGTGTCAACTGTCTTTTTCTTTTCTTCCAAGCAGCAATTCTATCATCCTTTATTCCTGGTATCCCCTAAAAACATTTTTTTTTTATTTTTTTTTTAGGATACTAGCGTAAATGTCTAAATAACCTTTTATTTGACTAATGATAACAGATGTTTAATAACCTCAGAATACAAAAAGGATTGTGCAGCAAGCGGTGAAGTTTTACTTTTAAATGTTTGTAATGTAAAGTATTGTCTACACTGGATTATTCATGTAGCTCTTGCTTTGACATTGTCACTAACTACGAAATTGATTTTATAAGATCTGTTTTACTTTTTGTAGACTATGAATGCATGGGCAGTGGTGGCAGTGCTCATACTTCTATCCAATGATGTTCCTGACATCCAGAAGCTCATAGCATGTTTGCAGCGTCCTAGCTCCCCACTGAAACTGACTGAAGCTATGGAGGCCTTATACTGCCTAGCTCTACTTGTGTATGCGATGCGAGAGGAGAAGAGTCCCATTACTAACAGGTATGCATGAAGATGGTAGTGGTGTACAGGAGTTTAAAAAAAAAAAAAAAAGATATTAATACCAATACTTTATGCACAACTTAGGCTGGCTATACACTTGGGGGTCTATTAAAAAAGATTTGCATAGCTATTCGTCCAGTGAAACTGCAGGTTTGTTTTGTGCAAGTTACCCAGCTGTGGTAAGAATGGGGCAAATTTGATTGTTTGTTTCTCATCTGGTCGATTATTCTTTAGATAATATGAGCAGGAGTAAAAAAAAATAGGTTCCTAAAATGAAACTTGAAATTATCACAATATGGCTACTAGAGCATAGGAAAAATTTACATGTTCGTTACCAGATACTATGTAAAAATTCTAGAGAACGCTGGAGGGAATTGGCAGATGAATGTAACCATTGCTACCGCATTTTCTATGAATAGTTGCTTTATGCCACGTGGTCACAATATGTCTGTTTCTAGACAAAGAGGGGGTCAGTTCCGCTGCAACTGGTGACCCCATCTCACACTCTTCTAAGGGTTCCAAGGCTGTTTGCTATGTGAATTCCAGTGGAACTGTCACCTGGTCTCTGGAATCCTGTTACCCTATGATTGAGTCGCCCTTGCCTCCGCCAGGTGAGCCTGATTTTGCTTCCTTAATAATTGGGGTCCCTACTACAGTTACATCAGAGTTCCACTTTCACCAAGTTCATCACAAATCATTACCAGAGAGGCCCTAAGTGCCCTCCCATGCCTTCCACCACAGAATATATTGCTGATCTGCCCGCAGCCTTAGAAGCAACCATTGGTGGCAGTGACTGTTTCTGACACTGATAGGTCACATCAGTCTTTCCCTGACAAGACTATCTTTGAGGAATCACAGTAGACACTACTCTGCATATAGAAGATAAGCTTGCTGTTTCCAGTCTCACTTTACATCTGCGGTTTGAGGTATTCCTCTATGGAAATTCAAAGCATCCTGATGGGTCCTGGTCACCCCCTGAGCGCTTACTGTATTTGTTCCTGTCTGGGAAGGATTTTGCTGAGCAGTAGTCTATACCCATTGTGGATTTGTCAGTGACCCTCCTTAACAGGAAAACCACTAGGCTAGTAGAGGGCCTCCTTACATTCAAGGATTTGACCGACCAACAGTTAGAATCCCTCTTTAAAACTTAGTTCTCTCTGGCAGGGACCTGCTCCCTATTCTGGCTATGATCTTAATTTGTAAATTCATGCCAAAATGGTCTAAATTCCTGAAAAAGGATCTCTTCATGGCAGCAGTAGATTCTTTCCTGATTTGAGCAGGTAGAGCAGATGTCTGAATGTTTACACATCAGCTGTGATGGCCTGCTTGAAGCATCTCGACCTGTCTCCATTATGGGTCTGTTGTCCGTACAAATGCACAGAGCACTCTGCTTAATGTTATGGAATGCAGACATGTCCAAGAGTACCTGACCCGCTTGGTCTACGAGGGACGATGTCTCTTTGGACCTACCCTTAACATTATTTTTAAGGATATCACTAGAAGACATAATACCCACTTGCCTCAGCATATAAAGTCTAGAGAACGGTCAGCTAAGTCCCCTTCGTTTCCATCCCCTACTCCTGAAGCACTTCCAAGTATTCTTGAAGGACTTCCAAGCCTGGTTATCTGGACATCCTGAGGTTAGGGTCAAAGAAACCTGCTAAGCCCTCAGGGAAGCCTGTTTTAGCATTAAGGTGAGACCACACACACACGCAAGTCCCCATCGAACATCTGACCATTTGTTGCCCATAATCTGTGGGTGGGTGCTGCAGTGACCGCGGACGACACCACCAATCAAACCATAATGAACGTAGTAGTCACCTGCACTCCAGTGTTCTGCTAATTCTTTTTTATTGACATAAAAAGGTCATGTCACAATGCGTAGCAATGTTTCGGAACATTATAGGTCCCTTCATAAGGCAAACAGTGATAACTGTGAAACCACAGTGTTCAACATATGCCGTATTTTTCGCTCCATAAGACGCACTTTTTTCCCCCCAAAAGGAGGGGGGAAAAGTGCCTGCGTCTTATGGAGCGAATCCCGACGCCCGAGACATGCAGTTTCGGGCCCGGGCGAGTAGTAGGAGCCACTGCTCGTTTAACACGAGTGATCTAACGAGATCACTCGTATTAAAGCCGAGCAGCGGCGGCGGCGATCGAGTTCAGCAGCAGGAGCCACTGCTCGTTCAATACGAGTGATCTAATGAGATCACTCGTATTAAAACCGAGCAGCGGCGACGATCGAGATAACCATAGAGCAGACGAAGAATAGACGTTCTTCGCCTGCTCTGTGTCATCACTGAGACCGTGGCGCTGTAATCACAGCGCCACCTGTCTCAGCGGTCACTAACTGCAGCTTCTGTCACAGCTTCTGTCATAGAAGCTGTCACAGAAGCTACAGTCTCGAGTGCTCCATAAGGCGCGCCGGACCTCCCTGCGTCCTATGGTCCGGTGCGTCTTATGGACCGCAAAATACGGTATGCACTACACACTGTGGCAGTGCGTGGCTATGCCACGGTGTAGTATGGCAACTTTGGCGCCCAGGACTCTCAGCCAGAGGGGCTGAGAGGTTCCACAATGTGAGGAGGAGAGGAGGAACTGGCTGTTCAATCCCTTCCAGGTTTTCCAGACGATAGTGGGGTGGGATCTCCAGTCCTGGGGCCAGGTGTTGCCAGTGGCCAGGTTGAGCTGATCAGGTGGCTGAGAGCAGCCTTATTAGGAAGCCAGCCCAGTGCTTTAGAGGAGAGGCAGACTCTGCTGCGTGCGTGAGCACAAGGGACACAGCCAGGAAGGCTAGAGAGGTCCAGAGGGTCCGTGACCCTGAGATACCTGTCGGGGAGACAGAGAGGGACAGTGACCCACGAGGGGTGGATACTGAACCGCTTGGAGCTGAGGAAAGCTGCTGAGCAGTGCTGAGGACTGTATTCACAGAAAAATACGGTAAAGTCCTGGGACTATCACACGGAGAGTGTATGGGACAGACAGATGTCGGTGAGACCAACCAATGTCTTGATGAGACCCCTGAATGAACTGTTATGCTTACTTTATGCTGAATAAAGACTGTCCTTTTATGTTAAAGTCGGCTTCAAGAGTGGTCACTTAGCGCTCACCATTGTGCTATATTCCCCAAACTACCACAACACACACACACACACAGTTTATTAAGTGTGTTAATAAGCGGGTGCTTGGGTGGTTTGCCTTTCCGGCATTTAGGTCCAGAGAGTGCCCTTTTCAGGTTTACTTTTCAGGTGCTCCTCACCTTCAATCATATTTGCAACTTTGGTTGAGTCAAGTTATAAAGTTATTTTTAGGTGGTTCCAAATAGAATAGAACAATTTGTTCCTCCGGCCCCCTTCAGATGTCTCAAGTGATGCTCATCGGTGGAAGTATGATTCACATATGGTGGTCCCACCATAAAATCTAGAGATTCTTGATTCAGGTCTACTTTTAATATACACATTGACTCAAATCAACCCTAAAAAAAATCCCCTTTTGATGCTTTGTTTAGCAGCAGTTTCACAGATTTTCCTTAATGGACTTGAAGACTTATCTCCTTTTTATTTTTTTGACATCCAAAATGTACATTCTACCACCATACTGCCAGAGATTCTCTAGCCAGCAGCTGAATGTAAACAAAGGGCTGAGAATGCTGGCCATGGCCATATTTGGGTAATGATGACAGCCAGCATCCCCTGCGGGATACCGAAGGGCTAGTTCCCCATCAGGTCCACTCTCCTACTGATTGATAGCAGGCAGTGGGCAAATAATCATCCTTTTACTGGCTATGGAATCTGCCCACCTCCTGCTGTCAATCAGTAGCAAAGTGGATCTGATGGAGAACTAGGCTCTCCATCAGAAAACTTCCATCCACAGTATAAGTACTTGACCAATGTGTCTGCCTGTGTGACAGGAACAGTGGCCAAGCTTGGTAACGCTGAGTATGTGATTTTATCAGGCTCCGTGTTACTGAGTTGTTCTGATGTTCTCGTTGCACCTCTCATGTACCAAGAGGAGATACATGTTTCTTTTTTAAAAACAAAACAAAAAAACATTTGATTATAATACAATTCAGGTGTGTTCACTTCACAAAATGGAATTGCACTCTTAGTGTGAGGTGGGGAGGAGGTGCGGCGCACAGCGTGTGGAGCTGTGAACAGGGCCAACTGATCGGAAGCCGATTAATCGATTATTGAAAAAGTTGACAACTTTTCCAATAATCGATTATAATCGATTATGTCGATTAGTTGTTGCAGCCCTAGTCTCCACCTATTCAGCAGAAGATAACCGCAAAGTATTTATATCTTATACTAATTCATATCTCTTCCTTAAACTGATAATGTATACATGGTTATAATTATAAACTTGGTCCCATTAAGGATATGGGTATTGATCTGCTATGTGAGCCACACTCTGTGAACTTACATACGTTGTCTTTGTACTTTATACTTCATACTGGTTCTAAAAAAACTGCTGAGAGGCTGCCATAAACATTATCTAAATGGATTGTCTATGAAGGTTTTCAATCATCTAGGTCATGGGAGTGGCAGTAAATCAGAGACACAACTAGACTTGCTGCTAATTCCTGAAAATGTATTCAATTTGATGGTAAGACATTCCTAGTATTTAAACCCTTTTTGGTATTTCAGTCACCAAAAGTGTTAAGTGGAATACATAACTCTAGGTGCAATTGTTGGTAAAGCCAAACTGTCATGAGAGAAATACTGTGGTTAACACTGCTGAGCCTCTTTCTAAAATGCTAGTTGCCCGCTTGTCATACAGTCTCACTAACTGATAAATTATTATTTGCTTATCCATAACAGGATTGAACATCAGGAAAGTTCGACAAAAATACAATGTTTTCATATGCATACCTGCTCTTGGTCAGTGACTCAAAACTGAAGCAAGAAGACTTTCAAGATAGCTAGGCAACTAGCATTTGTAACTGGAGTAGTCAACAATGATGGGCTACATTTTTGTCATGACAAGTTCACTTTAAACATGCATCGCATAGAGAAATTAAAGCAACACAGAGCGCATCCATAGTGTAAAACCTTTATTTGATGAGTACTGACATTGAATAATGAAATGAATATTTAGATCATGCCATTGTTCTGATGGAACCTCAGGTTCTGATGAAGTGGGCGTGCCTCAGGTTCTGATGGAACCTCAGGTTCTGATGAAGGGGGCGTGCCCCTGAAACGCGTAGACCTTTTTAAAAAACATACGGGAGCAGAGGACGCTGATTTGGAGATCCCCTCAGACTTCCCCTGCTGGAGATTTTATATTTTATCGTTTCCTTTTACGCTTATGATCATTGGCTTTCGTGTAAGTACATTTTCACTTGCGTGTTGTACTCATCAAATAAAAGTTTTACACTATGGAGGCGCTATGTGTTGCTTTTGTTTCCCAGATCGATGGTCGTTGTTGACCGGTGGGAGCTGCCTCTATGGTGTACCAATGAACTTTACAGCCGGATTTCTCTGCAAACCGGGTGCGCCGGTATTGCTTTTTTCAGCATAGAGAAATTGTTTTAACTAGAGTGTCTTGACTAGAGGTGTGTAATTACACTATATGGCCAAAGGTATGAGTACACTCCTCCAAACAGTTCATGTGTGCAAAACCGGCGCTGTATAGATGTGGTATTCTGTGGAGACACTCAAGTGGCCTGCACAGAGATCTGCCAACAACCATACTGAACACCTTTGGGATGAATTAGAAGACCCATTGTGATTAGGTCTTTTCATCCAGCATCCAGCATCAGTACCTGACAAATTGTCTTTTGGCTGGAAGGATACACTGAAGGAACCACTTAGATGAGCTAGGAATCAGAGTTGGCTGACAGCCACTGGTGAGCCAGAAGCCACTGGTCAGAAATCAGTATTCTACACAGTTAGAGGGTAATATACCTTAACTGAACATTCAGGTGAAATATAACTTTTAATAAAAGTCATTCTGGTACTGTTTCATTTTAATAGAGTAATGAACAGCATTGTCAAAGATAATTATACATATTATTTGCTTATGTTCTTATTTCTATCCATCTTTTACCAGGGTTCACTACAAAATCTTCTACTGCTTATATCTCCTAGAAAATGGATGTTCAGAATTTAAAAATGTTTCCCATGTAACATCTAGGCGAGTACCTATTTTATTTTTCTTCTCTGTAGTTTACATATACTGTATATACAATAAAAGCTGCACAGGGAAGAAAAGTTTAAGTGGACCTGCATTCAGCACCTCAACTCCGCTGAGAATAAACAAACCATCTTAGAATTGTCTAACGCTCCAGGCAAAAAGCTAAATACACAGATGAAATGCATGTTTCATGCAGAGCATGTTCGGCTGACCGAAGTGCAGCCTATGTACTGGTTTCAGCCGGAGTGAATAACCGAACGTTGTTCGGCTCACTTCACTTCGGCTGGGTTATTTACTCGGCTTTGTGAACAACCCCCTTAGGCCTGGTTCACACCTGGGCGTTTTGTAGCGCGTTCGAACGCTCTGCAAAATGCTCAAACACCGAAATCCCATTTTTTCATATGGGTATGGTTCACACCTAGGCGTATTACAGGCCGTATGAACGCGCTACAAAACGCCCTACGCCCAAAGAAGTACAGGAGCTTCTTTGGGGCGTTTTTGTTGTGCGTTTCCATTGGGATACAGCCAAGTAGCCCTCGGTACTTGGCTGTATCGCGGTAAAAACGCGTGTCACGAAACGCGCGACAAACGCGCATATTCGATACGCTAAGTTATTTTAATTACCAGGCTCTGCTCCCTGCTGGGTCTTCCTGTACCTCCTGTTGCACTCTCCATAATATAAAATAAATTAGCACTAAGGCCTGGTTCACACCTGTACGTTTTGTAGCGCGTTCAACGCTCTACGAACGCTCTACAAAACGCTCAAACATGAAAATCCCATTGTTTTCTATAGGTATGGTTCACACTTTGCCAAAATACTATCATATCATTTTTTGTGTATAGTTCATTTACGACTTGTTAAGACTGTGCTAAAGACATATGTTTCTTCTGACCCGTCTCTGTTTTGTTGACCAACTTATTAAAGTTATTCAGTGTTTTAGGTATGTAATGTGACTTTCTATTATATACTTTAGAATTAAGCCATCCTTGAAGCTAACTAATGAGCAGCAGCAAATTATTAACCATGATATTAAACCTGGACAAGTTGTAAAAATCATGGCTTTTGCAGGTAAGATATTGGTTAAATCTACCAGATGCAAAATAGTCTTTAGCAAAGATTAAGTAATTAGAACTGTGTTTAGAAAGTGTACATTGTTTTTAACATCAGTCCTTATTTATAAAGTGCTTGCATAAAGTTACATTAAATCAAAATGGTTGGATTCATGAGAAAGAAAGGGTTGTGACTAATAGTTATTTTATGGGAACCACATATTCAATTAGATAGGGGAAATCATATTAACTAGAAGTGGCACAAGCTGGTTACACTGTGAATATCCCTATAAATTATAATTTGTTTAAGAAATATGTAGTGTGTGTGTGTATAAAAATAATAGTGTGAGAGAGAGACATTGTGGCTGATTAACTAAAGGAATTGCAACATCGCAATTGTTGCCGTGTTCACTTTGACTACCCAGACGTGCAGATGAAATAAACATGAATTTGCTTTTCACATGATTGGATAATTGAAGTTTTAAATTGATTTTCACTTAATTTATTGTGTAGTCAGCAGGTGGCGCATATATTTTGTAGCTAATTAAATAAATTATTATATATTAAGCGTGCACAGTCGCATTTTATTTTTTTGTGTTTGAATAGCAAAAGGTTAATTTGCTGTAATGGTATTGTATCCCTGGCTATGGTTGTGTGCTGTTGAGTGATGTGTGTACCTCCTCCTCTGACCTGATCACTTCTGTGAGTGCAGTTCTTTCACAGACACTGGACTCCAGTGGCGTTTACAGGTAGTAATCCCATCTGCTTTATGATAAATATTATCTATAAGATGGAATCACATTTCCCCTATTTTACATAGTCTCTGTGAGATGCTATTTTTCAGTTTATCTTGTTGTTTTTTAATTTAGGTACTGGAAAGACCTCCACTCTCATTAAGTATGCAGAGAGAAGACCAGAGCTGCGCTTTCTGTATGTGACATTCAACAAATCCATTGCAAACTATGCTTCCAACATCTTTTCTGAAAATGTTACCTGTAGAACGTTCCACTCACTGGCTTTCCAGGAGACTGGAAAATTGTAAGTTTGATAACATGAATGTATTAATGTTTCCTACTGCTGCTAGTAGTATATAGGTTAGTGTAATCTGCTCACATTTATCTTGATAGGTAGTTAATTATTGTCAAGTCACCTTAATATTTATCTGCCAGATGAAGATAAATTCCACCCAAGTCAAATTAAGGGAAAATTACCCCAAGGCAAATTTTTATGGATTGGCAGATTCAACATCCTTGGGGCTGCGTGTTGCATTGAGGTGCACTGAAAAAAACCCCCACTGCATGCAGTGCAGTACTTTTTCAGCACAGCGGCCCGCAACGGTGTACAAACGCATTGCAATGCGCTGTGCCCATTGAACGTATTAAAATGTGACTGCTAACGCACACCAGCAGCACTGTGTGGTAGTGCAGCCATTGGTGTAAATGCAGCTTAAAATGACCGTGTTGCCTCGTCTCAGTGTTCTCTTTGTGCTCTGGCCCTTTAGGGGTTAACCAAGTAGTGCAGCCAGCAGTAGGGGACAGTCTGACATGTTTTGCCTATTAAATTTGGTGCCTTTTTGCACAGCCCTGGGTTGGCAGAGCACCTGTGCAGCCTCCTTTTGACCAGCTATACTGCACATGTATGTGCCATTTTCCTCTCTGCCAAGCACAACCGGCTGCTCCTCTGCCACCTGCCCCTGTCAAGACACAGCACAGCGATCTTAGGATGTACTGAGCCCCTCTGTCTACAGTGACTGGTCATAGAAATGCACCCTTCCTGATTTGCAGTAGCAGTTTCATTAGTACCTCTAGGTAATATACCTCACCTCACATGGCGGATCATAGGCACACATGGAATGGGTCTGTGGACCCAGCCCGCACACGATCAGCTAATGGTTTAGGAGGGGTCAGTGTTGTCTCCTCGCAGGATCTAATTTCTGATGGCTCTGACTGCCTCCTCCAGATGGAGTCGCTGTCCTCCCCTGAGGATAGCTCCATCTGGTGCACCTCCTCCTGCTGTTTAACTAGAAAGGAAATCTCAGCTACACTGTCTTAGTCCATCTCTGATTTTCTTCTGACTGCCCCTGTGCCTCTTGAGGAAGCGGGGGAGGATGATCGCTCATCTGACTCTTGAGAGTTCAGTATTGAACTAAGCATCTATTTTTATCTGTTTCAGACTTGGCTGGCTCTCACATACTTAGCAGAGAAAAAAGCTAGACATAGGAACAAGGGATTTATAATGTTTTGCCCTTGGATTTACTCAGCGTTTTGGAATACCATAAATTACCATTTTAGAAATGATTGCATTTCTTCTATGATTATAAAGGGTCATATTATGTGTCTGTTTTATTTATATATAGTTCTCAGTGGAGCTCAATATTTCCATAGAATATGAACCCTGAACATCCCTGCATCTAGATATTGTTAACGACTTAAGCTAGCCACCAATGGCTCGAATTTCAGGTGCTGTGGCTGAATGCAGTAGCTGGTAATGGATGTTGGGCGTGGATGGGGTAATCTTTACATGTATGGCTAAGTAAATGGGTGATTTTGCTGTGCTATAATTTCAATTTTTGTCTCTCAGGTATCAGCAAAGGAAGAAGATGAACCCGGGTGGACTTACAGCCTTCACTGTCAATTTTGTTCTTCCTGACGGCCAGGCTGGCTTTGTCCGAGCAAAACTAGTGGTTAAGACATTAGAGCATTTTTTTGCTTCTGCGGATACTGAAATTGAAGTAGACCATGTTCCAATATGGTGCAAAAATAATCGAGGAGAACGAAAGCTGGTCTCTCCAGAGAAACAGCAGGTGACTATTTTATCCTTGAAGGAACTGCTTTGTAGGTGCATTTTCTAAGCAATACTTTAGATTAGAAAATTCCCTCAGACTGAACTCCAGACAGTTAAATAACAACAGTGAATTTAATTGTATATTGTTTTATAAATCACTAAAATAGTATTAAACTCTCACTTTTTTTCAATAATGAATCCAGATTAAACAAATATACATTGCCCAGCAAAGCATTACTTTACATTTTTACCCAAAACACTTACAATCATAATGTTTCTGAACAGCTGCTTCCAAGTCTCTCGGCTCAGCTTCCCTGAACTTCCTGTCCAGTAGAAGATAAGAATGGACAGAGCAGACTCCAGCAAATATTCATCTTCCAGCTTGGAGAAGGGAGGAGAGGGGGCCAGTGGGGATTGAAGTAGCTTGATTTGCTGTGCCTGTGTGTTTGTGGAGACACATAGCTTACTAGCACACACAGGAGTGACTGCATAGCACTCTGCTTGAGAAAGGAGCCCCCCTAAAACAGGATATCGGGACCAGAGCTCAGGGGACCAACTGATTCTGCAGAAAACTAAAACTTTTAATCATCAAGGAGCAGCATCCATTGCAAGTGATTTCATCAGCATTTGAGATAGCTTAAAATACTTTTGACTTTAACCGCTTTTTGAATGTGAGCGGGTGTTTAAAAACGTCCTTTTAGCTCCGCCCACTCGTGCACACCAGTGGGAAACGGTCAAAATTGTAAACAGCCAGAGATGGGTGTTTACATACAGGCGTTCAGGTGGCTTTAGAGCCGCCCGATCGCTTGTATTTTGTGCCGCTCAGTATCCTGTTCCGAGCTCTGCTGTGTCCGGTGCGGGCCTGGGACCAACACTGTGGCTCTGTGAACGGAAATCAGAGGGAGCTCAATACACGAACTCCCTATGATCTCCGGTGTCAGAATGCAGGAAGTGATGTACATAACTTCCACCTTCAGCTGTCATTCCCGGCAACAGAAGCTGAAGAGAAGCTGGTGTAGCAGATGTCTGCTTCATCAGCTTCTTTGGGGGTCCCTAGGTGACAGGGGTCTTAAAGACCCTGGATGTCTCCATAAAAAGGACCTGTCACATCCTATATGGTGCCAATAAAGTTAAGTGGGAAAAAAAAAATTAAGTTCCAAATAAAAAAATAGTCACACCTAAAAAAAAATTCACAACAAAAATGTTAAAGTCCCCCGCGCCCACATACACACGCAAACATGCGCCGAGTGCGCCTACATGCAGAAACAACAATTGTGCCCATTGCACCGCACACTGATTAACGGTAAAAACTTTATAAGCAATTTTGGATATGGTAGCTTTTTGCAATTTCGCAGGTGCGCGTAATTTTAAGGCTTGAGTGTTTGGTGTCTATTTAACCGAAGTGACCCCATGTTTTATATTTTACCAAAAAAATGGGTAATAATAAAGTCGGAAAAACTTTTTCTGTTTTTCTTTTTTCAAAATGTTTGGTAATTTGTCCTTAAAAGAGTAAAAAATAAAAAACCCCAGTGGTGATGAAATGCCACCAAAAGAAAGCTCTAGCTGCCCCCAAATATAGTATAAAATTCATTTCAGTACAGCTTTGCATGACTGAATAAATGTCAGCCAAAATACCTCAGCGCTGAATACGGAATAATGGCCTGGTCAGGAAGAGGGTGTAAATACCCCAGTCTATATGTAAAAATGAATATACCTTTAAATTAATTTTAACATATAACGATAATAACTACCAGAATCTGGCTTGAAATGAGCTTCCTTTCTTCAGACACTCAGATTGGAGTGGGGAGGAGGGTGCTAGTAGCCTCTCAGGGTCTACTTCGTGCACGTGTACTGACAGGAGGAGAAAGTAGTGTGCAGGACTCATGACTGGTCAGTGTGCTGCTGCTTCCATCATTGTTCAGAGAGAAAGTGTCACCTCCCTAGCTGTGCTGGACAGAGGAGTATTAAAGGCAAATTCTATAGCCAAAACATTTTTTTAAATCTTTGGGTAGAGTGGGGAGGGGTTAAATCCTGTCAAGTTTTTATTGCTGTCTGTGTCCCACTAAAAAGATTCAACCTCTCTATTTGTCCTGTTTGGCTGTTGTCACCAAATCAAAAAATGTTAGGAAATCCACATTTTTATAGCTGTCGCCAGAACCAGAGATAACGTTTTAGTGTGCGATTCGTGTGGTGTGACAGGTCTGGTGGGGTGAGGTGTAATGTGCATTATACTGTCTCATTTCTTTTTAAAAATCTTTCTGTTTATTCTTTTTTTCTTTATTTGTAGTGTGCACACTATTCAGGTGTCCGTACAGCAGTGTGGTGCCCTGCAATGCCACACAATGCGCACGCAACATGGGTGCAATGTGCACCGCACATTGCACCCATGTTGTGGTGTAAACCGAACACATAAAAAATAATTGTTTTCATTGTGCCCTAACGGTGACTGCTGCTGTTCAGTTGCTGAAAAACGTCAGT